GTCCTGTCGTTCCACAACATGTACAGAGCCCTGATCCGTGACTGGGGCACCTAGACACTACTGCAAGACATACAAAAAAACCTGCCAAGTATTCTCAGGTAGGTTTCAACGCATTTATTAAATTCTTACAAAACAGAATACAAAATTCTGGCATCAACAGTTGTTACATAGGAAAACTTCGATTGAGCTGTATCAGTTCACCTGGTACATACAATAAAGTGCTTGTTTTTTTTTTTCATTTTTGTTTTTATTTTTAGTTTTTACTTTTGTTTTTATTTTTAAACCAGCCCCTGGCTCGAGGCATCCATCGTACAAACCAACAGTGCGTTAAGGTGATTTTATGTCAAACCCAGCTTTGGCAGTCTTCATCAATTGTAAAGTGGAGAACGCGTTTTCTCCTGTATTGATAAAAAAAGTCAGATTCACAGTAAAAGTTTCTAACCAGTTCTAAATTGAGTTAATTGACTGAAGGAGGACCAAGGGGGAAATAAGCAAAAAATATATTTTTTTTTAATTTCCTGCTAAAACTTGCAAGAAACTTTTTGAAAAGAAAAAAGTCTCCAAGACAGATGCTTTACGAGAAAAAAAGGCTTTTAAAAAAATAAAGGAGGAAAACATGGGTTTAAAAAAAAAAAAAAAAAAAGAGGACTTTGGCAAGACAGGAAAAAAAAAGGGCACAGAACCATTTAAGTGCTAGAGAGAGAAAGATTCTGAGCAAGCATTGTCTTTGGAAACAAAACCAAGGGAAAGTAACCAGTGGGGAAGTGAGATGCGGGCCCAATCCTGGGCACTAGCATTAGCGTCTCTTCTGTCTTAACACCTACAGACCAAGGGCCACATTTTTCAAAAGACCTGAGCACCCAACATCTCCCACTTAGACGCCCTCAATGAAGCCCTCTGCTCCCACTGAATAATGGCAGCTACTTGGGGCCAAATACTATAAAGTCTCGTCATGCAGGTGCCTAAATGAAGCTGAATTCTCAGCCCAAGTGTGCAAGGCATTTCACAATTCCCTCCAAACACACACTGCCCTGTGCACTTCCTCAGAGCAAGTGTGCTTCTTAAAGGCAACCGAGAAAGGAAAGGGTAACTGGGCTGCCTATTTCTTTCTTAAATGGCATGAAAGTTTCTTCCAAAGAGTTTCTCCTTCATTAGCAATACGGGGTCTTGTCTACAGATTTTCCTGGAAGACTTTGGCTGACGGGAGAACTGCTAGCATTGCGACAGATGCACCATGCCAGCGAAACAAAGTGAATCATATTTGGACTGACTTTTAAACACCAAGTTAAACCGGTGTGGATTTAAAACAAACTGCTGGACAAGCCGTCAGAATAGCTCCCCTGATAGTCAATGGAGTGAGGCTGTCTTCTCTTTAAAGAGGTACATTTTCAGAGGCACAGATAGGAGCTTAATGGCCCTAAAAGCGCCATCTGTAACTCTGAACATCTCCCCCCAGAGAAGAAAAAGCTCACAAATCATGTAAGCAGGCAGATCATCAGCAAGTGTAAATTGCCAGATCTGACCCCAGCTGAGGATCTGTTCCGAGATCTTCAACCAGTCCTCCAGCAAAACCAGGCAACCCCAGGCCTGCATCCCTGATTTTTCTGAGGCCAGAAGACCCCAGACCTCCTTTACCCATCAAAGCAGCAAAGAAAGGTCAACCCAGTTCACTTGCCTTTGTAGTCTGCCTTTCAGCGGAGGGAAAAAAAAGTTTCATGGGTGGGAAGCGGGGAAGTTTGCCAACAAAATCATGGAAAACCAAAACATTCCCCCCCCCCTTGCAAATCCCTTCCCATGTTTTTTGTTTTTTAAAAAGGCTGCAACCTGCAGCATTACAATAGCTTTCACAATACCAGCTCGAGGCATCGCATACTGTACATCATTCAAGTATTTCTTAATATAAGACAACAAGGAATTATCTACAACTGATAAAAACAAAATAAGCTATAAAAAAGTAACCATGTACAATCAAGATAATGGATTTTTTAAAGGAGGTCTCGAGAAGTATTGCAGCCTGTTTTTCGAGGTACAGTACCCCCTTGCTTCCAATACAGCGCTCCCCCGTATTCTCCTTGCCACCCTGGAGTTCTGTGGTCAAGGGAAGCAAGTGCTGATCATCGTAAGCAAGAATATGTATGGATTTGTTTCCCTTACAGATGAAGTGAAACTGCTTCTGCAGAACAGGGTAGGGAACAGTTATAGTTTATATTCCCCTGCCTTCCCAAAGCGTCATCGAGATCCAAACACCCAATGATCAGCGAACCCCTGATGCTATTCACAATTGCCTCCCTGAAATAAACAGAACATATATTGCATAGTATTGCTGTCAGCAGTCTCGGGGGGGGGGGGAAAAAAAACCCCGAACAGCCTCAGTCTGAGAAAGCATCAGGCTTACACCAAAATTCAGGGGAGGCTGGCTGGACTCCCAACTCAAAAGGTTCCAAAAACCTCCGGCTGTGCCTAGGTGATAAGTTTGAGGTGGCTTTTAAACTATAAAGCTTGATGCATCCAGTTAGGGAGAAAGGGAGACCAGTAATTTGCAGGGGGCACGTTTCCCTCCGTCTTGCCAGACTCAGACAAACGCGCCGGCCTTGTTTAAACGAGGGGCTTCAGGGGAGGCGGAATGAAGCCACTGAGTTCACCTCACTCCCAGTTTCACACCGGCACCGCTACACCGAGCGCGGTGGTGCTACTCTCCATCTGCACCACCGTCAAGGGCAGGCAAATCCGGCCCGATATTCCACAGGGAGATACGGGGTTTTCATTTGCAGAACAGCTGGGCGTGCGCAAGCCCCAGCGTGCCCCCATCGAAGAGTCAGTGCTTCTGAAAGATCAGGCCCATAACACTAATTTTTTCAAGAGGAAATCAAGGAAAGGGAAGGCGCTACACGCCAGGCTGGATCAGGAAACTCGATAAGAGACGTCAGAACAAATGGAAGCACGAGATACACCCTGGGCAAGGAGGGTTGTTGAGGCTCACCTAGGACCCCTGCCACAGCACCACTGACAGACTCGTCCTGATTGGTCAGCCTCCACTTGGGAAGGCTTGTGTCATAATTCAACTCAGAAAAATCACTTCTGCAGAACCTCTGGAAGGCGCATTCGAACCACACACACGCTCCCCTCCAATTCAGACCTCCCCGAGAGGCCCTGCTGACTGAACCTGCTCCCCTGCAAGCGTCTCAACCCAAAAACCCAACTTCCACAAGACCACGCCTCCCTCAAAGACTAATATTAAAGCTCTTCCTCCTCTAGTCCACCTCTGCGTCGGCACGAAGACCCAGAAACCCGCCGCAGGTATACCCCCTGCCCATCCAACGCCAGAGATTGGATTTCCTGATCGCACCTCGAATAAGCATCTCCTCCCTCTTGAGGGGGAGCCTTGGGAAGATCTGCATTTCAAAAGAAAGGAAATACACCATGGAACCCCTTAAGCGACACAGATCCCACGGAAACAACACTCCTTTTCACTTGCTTCTGCCTCCCGGCGACAGAGCTGCTTTCCAGGAGGCACCAAGACTGAAAACTATTTCGGATCCTCTCCCTGAATGGTCAGCTCGTTGCCCTAGGACAGAAAGCTCACTGAAAGCAAGAACGAGTTTTTCCTTTTTAAAAGCACCAGATTATTTCCAAGGCAGGGGATTCGCCAGCCACAGTCCGTAAGGACAGGAGCTTAGAGTCGATCCTGCCGTTTACTGGGAACCCAGCTGCTCGTGTGATTTCACACTGGGGCAGAGACCCCCTTCACACACACGCACGCGCTCACTCACCCTTCAGAAGAGGCTTGGATCCTGCTCCATGGCAAAGTCCCTACAGACTTTCATAGGCCAGGACCAGCCCTATCACGCAGAGTTAGGAAGTAACTCTGAACGTGAATGTTTCAAAAACCCGGGAACACTGGGGGAGATCCCACCAGTCCCCCACCTCCGCTCCCCCATATCCAAGCTGTACCTGGCACATCATCTAACCCTAGGAAGCACCATGCCGGTACAGCTCAGTTCCCAGTCCGAGTCCGAAGGACAGAACCTAGGGGAACAAAGGAAGACACTTCTCAACGTCCTATTCAAGCAGGTTTGCTTTAGCAAAGCACAACTAGGCTGTTTAAAGAAAAATAAAAACCCTAAAGTGGTTGAAATAGCTTATCTTGGAGCAGGGAGCTGAGTTTCAATCCAAACCAGGGAGATGAACTGCCCTCATGAGCACAGCTCTCCTCTCTTCCAGCCAGAAATCCATCTGCCAGCACCACATTCTCTCTCTCTCCAGGTGAGGTGCAGAACGCCCCCCACTTCCATAGACTTCAGCGGGAGCAGAGGGCACTAAGCTTCCAGGACCAGGGGCACCTGCGTTGACAATGACACCCCCTTCCGATGCCACGGAATCCCCCATGCCCCAACATCAAGCCCTGGCATTCGACAAAGATCCAATTCCCGAACAGAGCTTCAACCAAACTCTCCCTCACTCCTGTGGCATCCCACTGCATTTTGGAGTCCCCGTGGCAAGGGAAGCGTTGGGAGGGATGAGGATTCAGGACTATCCTCTCCCTCTCCAACCCCTTTTTTCTGAGAGGTGCGATGCCTGGGCACGTTCTCTTTTAAACACCTTAGCTTAGATCAGCCAATTCCAGCTCCGGAATGATTTTTTTTTTTTTTGTCTTCAGTTTTTTTGTTTTTTTTGTTTGTTTTTTTAAAAAAAAGAGCTCCCCATGGCTGACTAATCTCAGCCCCAATTCAAAGAAAAACCTGCAGCTCGTTAGGAAAAATAAATGTTAAAATGCTACTTTTTGTTGTTAAAAAGACAACCGAGGGTCCTTTTTTTTGTTTTTTTGTTTTTTCACAGTATGAAATGAGCTGAAGTTGTAAAAGCGTCACTTGTACAAATAGTCCTTTGGTGTAGGGGAAAAAAAAAATAAAAATAAAAAAGAGTCAAGAAAAAGTTCATACGTCGCCTGTTAAATGTCCTTAAATGTGCCCTGGGTGAAGGAACCTCACACTAGATTAAAAAAATAAAAAAAAAAAAAAGTTTTTAAACAGAAACAAAACAAAGGAACTTACAAGATCAGTGAAACCTTGGAAACCAGCCAATAGGACAGAGTCCTGATCTTGTTGCTAGCTAACAACGGCATTTAAAAAAAAAAGAAAAGGACGACGCCCGTATACAGCACATATATATGTACAGGGAGTGGGTGGGGGGGCCACAGCAAGCAGGCGATCACGCGTGATCGCCCACCAGGACTAACGGAGCAACGAGGTGCTGGCTCGCAGCCCCCGCCTTCGTCATGCTGCTCTTCTGCCTCCGTTTGGCCAGCCTGGATTCCGAAGGGGGCGACAGTTGCATGGAGCATGAGGTAGCTTTGATTATGATTGGTCGCATCTCCTCCTCCTCCTCGTCTTCATCGTGCTGCATCAGCTGACGGTTGACAGCGATGGCTTCAGCGGCGAAGGAGGTGAGTTCTTTGGCACTGCTGTTCCTGGAGGGGAGACAGGCCAAGGTCAGCGAGCAGGGGCTGGACAGGTGACATGAGACACCCACCCTCGGAGCAGCAGCTGCTCGAAGGAGGTCTCCCATTCCCATCATCGCTCTTTGAACCAAGGCAGAGACTCATGAGTGGGAAACAAGAACTTAATCAGTGTTCAAGGTGCACAGGCAACCACAGCAGTGACCCAGCATGCACCGGGCCCAGCGTTTGATCCCCAGGGAACCCATTCCAGGACTGCCTCTTCAACTGGCCTGAAGTTCTGAGTAGGTACCCGAACAGGATGGCTCAAAGACACCCCAATGTCTTGTTCTCCTGCAGCTGGTTAGGACTTGGGACTGTCTCATGGGAGAGCCTGCTTCAAGTTCTGGGTCTAGGTGCCCCACCTCACCAGGCCAGCAGGGGCTACAAGTGCCAGGGAGGTGACGGGGCAATGGGGCAAGCCTTCCAGAAGAGGGAGTGGGGTCACCTGGTCCACACCAAGGCCCCTCTAGTCTCCCTCGGCTGACTGGACGGGAGCGTCAGCGCTCCTGGGAGGCGGGCAGAGGACTTTCAGCACCCCGTGGTGCAGGCGTCACCAATGCACTCTGGCTTTGGATTGTCAGGTCTGCAAGATCTACCGGCTGATGAACTCATCGTGTTACTATGGAGAGGGCTGCTCTAACTACCGCAAAAGCTGCTGAGAGACACCTTCTCTCTCTGCAGCAGCCCCACCCCCCCCATGCGTATACAGCCAGGGTGCAGGAGAAAGGACTCGCTCACCTCTGTAAGATGATGGGGGTTGGAAGCGTGTTGTCTGGAGCACACTGGAATAGAACAGAAGCAAGATTTAGAGTCGAGTGGCAAAGCTCATCTCTCAGGAGCAGATATGGGACCTGCAGTCAACACCCATGAAACCACCTCCTAGTAGAAGTGGTGGGTGTCGAGTGGAAGGAGGCCCCAGTGGGTAGGGTGACCTTGGCTTGTGGGAAACCTGGGCTCAATTACTGCTCTGCCAAAGACTTCTATGTGACCTTGGACACGTCACTAGGAGCCTGAATACCACAGTGGATCCAGGCCTTAGTGGCTTGGTGCCTCAGTTTCCCATCTGTACAATGGGGATAATAGCACTGCCCTACCTCGCAGAAGAAATACATTAAAGATTATGAGGTGCTCCAATACGCCAGCACTGAGGGCCAGATAAGTACCCAAGACCGATAAATCCTGCATCGATGGCTCTGTAAGACTCCAACTTCTTTCTTTAGGGACAGGCAGTTGAGCGGTTAGAGCACATGACTAGAGGTCAGGAGACTCAGGCTCTAGTGTGGTTCCACCAGGAACCTTGGGCAAATCATTTCTCCTCTCTTAAGGAGATATGCCTATCTCATAGAACTGGAAGGGACCTTGAAAGGTCATCGAGTCCAGCCCCCTGCCTTCACTAGCAGGACCAAGTACTGATTTTGCCCCAGATTCCTAAGTGGCCCCCTCAAGGATTGAACTCACAACCCTGGGTCTAGCAGGCCAATGCTCAAACCACTGAGCTATCCCTCCCCCCCAATTCCCTATGCCTCACTTTACCCTGCTGTGAAATGGGAATAAACCATTCGTCTCTCCGGGTGGGGCAGAGCGGGGGAAATCATGAAGCTCAGCTGTTTGTCGAGTACTTTGAGAACTCCAGGTGGGAGGCTCAATAGACGTGCTAAGAAGGATCATAATGCTGGTTTAAGGGAACTGCTCTCTCTGAAAGTTTGAGCCTCCAAATAAGTTAGTTTTTAATGCCATTTTCTCTTCTCTCGGGTCACTCAGTCCGGGCCTGACCCACAGACCTTACATGGCCATAGCTTCCTAGTTGCATTACACAGCTGTGCCAAGAACCCACACAATCCGTTCCAGAATCTTATGAAGTTAGAAGAGTGTCTTCCAAGATCTGCAGCTCAGGAGACAATGAGAAGGAGAATCAAACGTCCTCAGAGCAGAACTCACCCCCTGCACCCAAGGATGCTCGAGGACCTGGGCCGCGCTGAGCCGTTTCTTGGCATCTCTAACCAGCAGCTTGGAAATTAGATCTTTGGCTCCAAAAGAAATGTGGGCCCAGTCCTTATCAGGAAATTCATACTTCCCTTCCTGGATACTCTCAAAGAGCATGTTCTGGAAGAGAAGAGGCACCCGAGCAAAGTTTATTTTTAGAGAAGTAAAAGTGATCCTCAGTGCAATCTGATTAGACCTAGGAGGCAGCTCCTCCCAAGGCAAGTGGGAGGCTTGAAGCTAAGCAGAGAATCTCCAACCTTCATAGAATCTCAGGGTTGGAAGGGACCTCAGGAGGTCATCTACTCCAACCCCCTGCTCAAAGCAAGACCAATCCCCAGACAGATTTTTGCCCCAGATCCCTAAATGGGCCCCCTCAAGGGTTGAACTCACAACCCTGGGTTTAGCAGGCCAATGCTCAAACCACTGTGCTATCCCTCTCAACCCTACCAGCTGCATTCTCTGTGTGCAGGGAAAGCTGATGTCAGATGTCCAGCAAAGTTGCTCTATGTGACCAGCAAGAATTAGTTGCCAGAGAGAGGGTTCTTTAACCAGAGGTCAAACCATTGCACTGGAAGCCACATGGGGCGACTTCAAGTGGCTGTTTCAGCCGGGGGCTAACGTGCTGAAGGAGGTGGGCTGTTCAGTGTGTGGGGCTGTGCCAGACAGGATAATGGACCTACTGCTGCTGCTAGCTAAGAAAGCTCCTTTCACACAAGGGCCAGGCTGCCAGGCAGAGGGGCTGGCTCACCTGACAGGCATGGCACGCCTCGCCGCGGTCCCAGCCGCAGTCGGTGCCACAGTGCCCCACGAAGGGCGGGTAGCCGCTCAGCATGATGTACAGGATGACGCCCAGGCTCCACAGGTCGCAACGCTTGTCATAGATGGAAGCCTCCTCATTGAAGGCCTCCACCACCTCGGGAGCCATGTACTCGGCAGAGCCGCACTGCGGAGAGGGAGAGCAAGGCAGGGTTACTCAGAGCTGGGCCCCAGGCAATTGGACCTCCAGAATCCAGCACTGATCCGAGGAGATGCCGCGGAGGAGAGGGGAAGACTAGGCGTGACAGATGCCCCCCCAGACGCTACAGTTCATCGCAAATGCTCAGTCCCCTGCTACCATGAGACACCAGATCCAACCCTTACCCTGAAGGTTCGGCTCCAAATATTACAATCCACGACCAGCCAGGGCCCAAATGTGGAGCAGGATCCCTACAAAGCAGGCCGTGCCAGAGCGTAGAGCCTGGGTCTGATGGGCATCACCAAGTCGTTCATGCCCCATCACAGAACCCCTAGGGTGCGATCGGCAGCGTCTGCAGGTATGAACCAGCAGAGTAGCAACCCCAGTAGGTTCGCCTGTCGATGGTGCAGCAACTCCCCTCGCTACAGCTGGCGCCAAACCCTGTGATCCGTGGGCAAGTTGCCTGAGCGCCAAATTCACCCAAATATAAACACAGACTAAAATCCTAGATCTGAGCTGGCAATGAAGCGAGGCCCAAGCGGGCAGCATTGCTCCAGCCAGAAGGGACCTGGGAAAGACAAAGGAACAGCCGTGCCAGAGGCAAGGAGCAGAAGCAACAACCCAAGGCCGCACCACCCTGTCCTCAGCCGAGATGACGCAGCGAAGAGAGATTTGCTCGTAGCAGAGACAGAAGGTCAAGGAAGGGCGGGCAGCACCAGCTCCCGGCATCTGCAAACGTCTCTGCCACGCAATGGGATCCTACTCCAGTTATAGCAGCGGGAGCCAGGTGGAAAAGCACAGCTGCTCTCAGGACTTGAATATCGCATCCCACCCCCTCTTGCCAGCTGCCATCTTCTTCCCCTGAACTGCCAATCTCACTCTTTTTAAGGGCGAGTCTCTAGCGCCGATGCTTACAAAGAAAACCTCCAAAGAGGCGACTGGGTGGTAGCGGAACCAGCAACGACACTGGGAAGTGCAATGTGCCCCTGTCCACCCAAGCTCCACCAGCAGGGAGCGCTGGAACCACACTGCCGCAAGGTGGCTCAGGAAGCCAGGCCGAGCGTCTGCACCTCGCCTCAGGAGGGCAGGGCTTATTTTGTGGGCCAATGAGTTTAGAGAACCACTACACCCCCCAGGTCAGCCCCTGCCCGCCCCGCTCTCCGTATTCAGAGTGGGAGGAGGTAGAGGAGATGAGAAGTTATTTTAATAACTGACTGGGGCTTCCAGGATTTTCTGCCCAGAGCTCTTGAGATCAGGCTCCCAGACATAACCCAGCAGTTCAAGCCAAGCTAACTATGTATGCACAACAGTCCCTCTGGGAAATTGTTCCCAAGCGTTGCTTTGGCAGGAGTTGATGACCACGAGCTATAAGCAGACCCATTTTTCCTGGAAGGGCTGCACACAGCCACCTCACGAGCATCCCCCGACGTCCCAACGTGCCACTGAAGCGCAGCGCGGAACTAGACACGACTCTGGGACCACCAGCTGAGCCAAAGGGAACGACGCACACAGTAAAGACACCCAGGTGTCCCCGCAGGAGACGGATCAGTTACATCCCTGGCTGTACTCTGGCTAATCATTGGAGAAAAGCAATCTTCTATAAGTCCCCCCCAGTATCTAAATATCTATCTTAATAATAAATACTTCGCTCTCATGTAGCACTTTTCGTGACCAGGCTGCAAAGTGCTTTAACAAAAGAGGTTAGCATCATAATCCCCATTTTACTAATGGGGGAAACTGAGGCACAGAGGGGTTAGAAGTGACATGCCCAAGGAGCAGGCCAGTGACAGAGCCAGGAATAGATCCCAAGATTCCTGAATCCCAGTCTAGTGCTCAGCCCATTAGACCACACAGCCTCTCCGCACATATGCCACCGTCCCGTCACTACAGTGTCCAAGATCCTCGCCTTCCTTGTAAATTTGAGAGAGCTGGCCCTCTGCTAGCAAGTCCCAACTCAGTGGCTCAACCTCAAGATGATCCTGCCTCCTCCACTCAAATCCGTTTACATTTGTTACAGTCTGGATGAAGTCACAGGATGGACCCAGAATGCTTTAGTCCCAACTCTACCCTTGACGGGCACTAGATTGATAGCACATGACCGCCTAATATAGTGGTCCCCAAACTTTTTTGGTCATGTTTCCCCCCCCTCACCCGGTCTGCATCCTCCAGGGGACCCACAGCCAGGAGCAGGGCTGGGTGGTGCTCCCTCCCCACCCCCCTGAATGTTTCTCTGTGCCCCCCCCCAGGGGGGCATGCCCCACAGTTTGGGGACCACTGTTCTAATAGAAGTTAGAGCTCATCTCGTCCGACCACACCACACCCAGCCCTTTCCTTCCACTCCGCAGGTTTCCCTCTGAACTCAGCACGTTCGTTTTATACAGGCTCCTTCCCTCTTTACTACAGTGAAGGGTCCCGGGGGGGAGAAAGGTTCTGCCCCCACATTCTTCCTGGAAATGGGGGGGAGCAGCAGGGCTGGAACTGAATGCCTGGTGCCCCTTACGCAAGAACCGGACTTGAAGGATAGGAAGAGATCCCTCCCTATTGAATTCTCCACTGTCTTCCCGAAGCTGGTTTTGAACCTGTGCTTCCAGAAAAGACAGCAAACCTGGTGCAGTGCCTTGGGCCATGCAGCCACCTTGATCCACTCTCCAGGACACCAGAGGTAATCAGAGAAATGCACCATATGGGGGGGGGGGGGAGAAGAGGAGGAAGAGGCTGCTGTTTGGAAAACAACACCCATCTCCTGTTACACCAACGGCCCCCCAGATGTGGACAACAGCCAAAAACTGGCTGAGCCACCCACCCACCCACACCCCCCCGCCCGCGCCCGGCTGATCCCCAGGGGAGAGAATAAGGGACATCAGAATTCAAGGCACTGGAAGGTCCTGCATTCAGTGAGCTAGTGAAGGGAACTGCAGGAGTTAAACAGCTGATGTAACCAGAGCCACAGATGTCTCCAAGGTCCCTTCCCCCTCCCGGCCCTCCCTCCCGTCTGGGGCTTTCCAGCCCCAGCTCACGTGACTGATCAGCCCACACAGGCCTTGTGGGGGAGGGAAACAACCCCACAGCCATCAGATAATTGCTTAAATGAGAGGCGAGCAGCAGAACAGCTGATGCCACAGGAAAAAAAAAATAAATAAAACCTTCTGCAAGCTGAGAACCCAGGCAGGGCTCCTGCCCCCCCCCCGGGCCCCCCACGGCCTCCCCCCCCCCCCCCCCCCCCCCAACAGCATAGGAAACAGAAAGCAGAACTTTGTCACCAAGAAACCCCAGCCGGAGTTATAAGCCGCGCTGGGGGGCAAGGTGCAAAGCAGAGCGGCCCCGGAGATGAACACCCGGGCGGGGCTGGGCAGATAGGCTGGGAGTTCCCCTGGAGGGCGGGCGGGTTCGGCGTGTCTCGCCAGATTCCCACCCCGAACCAGCGTTCCCAGGCTCAGGAGATGTTCCCGATGCCACCATTGCATCAGCCGCGGCGCTGCCCTCCTGAAGCACACGTGAACCCAAACTGACCTCGATGCCAGTAAACAAGGGTGTGGGGGCTCTGCCCGATCCTATGTGCCAGGCAGTCCTTGCCTCCCAGAACCAGGCAGCGTTTGCCCGGGTGAGCGAGAGCCCTGTTCCCCGCAGGGGTGCTGGAAACTCTGCGGGCTGCAGCTGGGCTGAGCAGAGAGGGGACGGTTCGGGGGTGGAATTCTCTGGCCCAGCTCACGCTAGATCAGAATAGACCCTCCTAGGCAGCAGGGAGAAAAGGCAGTCTATGCGCCACAGCCCCTGCTTCCATGAAGAGCAGGCCAGGGAGTCCTCACGCCCCAGCCTTGAAAGTAGAAGGGGGCGCGGAAATCTAAAGCACTGGGCCCAACAACCTCCCTCGCCCCCACCCCAGTGCAACCAACGCTGCAAGTCAGAGACTGCCGTCCCCCTCCACCCCCATCCCGTTCCCAGCCACATCTCGCCTGACCCACTTCTGTAAGCTTCCGCCAGAGAACGGCGGATCCCGCCCCAAGCCGCTCCGGCTCCTTCCCGGCAGCCAATAGGGCCAGCTGTTGCCAAGGCTCGATTTTACCTTCTCCTCGGCACTGGCTGGCGGTGCGCCATCCCCCTCCCCCGTTTGAAAGCCAACGCATTATGTAACCCTTTCTCGAATTCGCTCCCCTCTCCGAGAGGAATGAATAATGCACGAGCCTCTCAAGGACAGGCGTTCAGGAGAGCAGCGCCAGGCGCGCGGCAGACAGCCGGTTTTCTGATCGCCCCATCCTCATAGGGGGCAGAGACCAGTGTAGGCAACACACACACCCCCACCCCTCTCTCTGTCCAGTGCTTTACTCTCCTCAATCATCCACCCACAGCCTCTGGTTTCCTAATGCTCCCCCCTTTCCGCAGGGTACGTTTCCCAGCTCCCTTCGAAGGCCCTTTGCCTGGAGACATCCAACGTCAGGCTTGTCTCCTTCAGGAATCCCCCAGCGCCCAGGGACGGCTGTTCTATCTCCCTCAGCCACAGCCTTCCAAGCATGCCTGGCTGTGCCGGCACGTCTCAGGCTCCCCGCCGGATTACAACCCCCGTTTCTATTCTGGGTGGAAACCAATTACAGGAATGCCCCCTGGGCCGGTGCCAGGCGCGGTACAGGGTAGTTAAGGGGGCCAGAGTTGCAAACGGAGCCTTGTTGAAAAGTCCAACAGCGACTAAAAACAACAGATTATGGACACTGGTGCCAGGGCAGAGGCCACTGCAGAAGTCCAGCTGGTGCTCCAAGCAGAGCAGAGCGCCAAGCGGGCAGCATCTGTAGATAGACGTCTAGCCCTGGTGGCCAGGACTCCTGCCACAAATGCACAATGCTGGTCATCTTCCCAGACGTCTATAAGCAGCCTTAGACTCCCACAAGCCGGCTGGTAGCTAGCCAGTCGATGGTGCAAGACATCTCTCTCCATGACAGTCCCATCCTCCCCGCAAAAGCCAACAAAGTCACCCCCTCACACATTAACGAGGGGGCAGAAATACTTACGGGTGTGAGCAGCTCAGGGGTGGAGATAGGGGAACAATCGCCATTTAATTTGATGCCACTTCCCAGGTCAAAGTCACAGATCTTCACAGGGGAAACCTAGGACAGGACAGAGAAAGCCAAAAACATTGATCACTTAATTGAACTGCGACGTGCCTGTGAAGTTCACCATGCAAGGCCAGAGGTGACCTGGAGATCCCCACACACACTAGACATGTCCATGGCCCACATGCATCACCCCAGCAGTCTCCCCCCTGGGAGTCACTTCTTAGCAAATGGAAATCTGGCCTTTGCCCTCCACCCATCTGCAATGCAAAGGAGGTTATCAACAGCAAGCCCCCAGCTCGGAGCGGACTTCCTTCTCTGGTTCGCCTGCTCCTGCGGGGGCAGGCCCCTTCTGAGAACCTGCATGCAAAGGGTTAACATCACAGCCTAGCTGCCCACTGACCCCTCCCCGACCCCGTGCTACCTCCTTCCCACCAGTGCCCTCCCCACACAAGCAGGGCCCAGGCTCCCCAAGAGCCCAGACCCACATCCCAGAAAGAGGCTGACCCACCCGCTGGAGAGGAGCTCCCCTCCTCCAAGGCCACCCCAGCTCCTGCCAAGCCAGGGAGCAAAAGAGTGGAGCGTCTCTGGACGTGCTGCTAGCCAGGCCGCCTGCCACTCACCTGGTCGGGACTCTCACAGAGAATATTTTCTGGTTTTAAATCCCTGTGCGCTATACCTGTTAAAAACAAGAAACCCCAGAGTCAACAGGGGCTGCTGCTTTCCTGGGACGGTTCAGAGCCTGGCTCTTCTGCAGCTCAGGGCTTGCAGGGTGGGGGAAGACCCAGCAACTAGGGGGGCTGGCTCCCTCATCGGCGGGCCCGATCCACCCTGCTACGGGACGCTCTGGGAAGCCCAACGGCCAGAGAGGCGCTTGGGCCCAAGACACCCTGCGTGCTCTGGCAGGCCAGCGCGGCCCGGCACCACGTCTGTCTGGGGAAGGGCACACCTAAGAACCTGGGGAACGGGCTACGCAGAGTCCCCGCCCCGCTCCCTTAGCACCACCACCCTGTCCTCCCAGAGAGTCTCTAGTGGCCGAGGGGTGGCGCTGGACATGAACACTCAGGCCTTAGGCTCCTGGGCTCTCCCAGTGCAAGGAGGAATAAGAACCCACTCTCCCCCCCCAGCCCATGCCTCCCAGCCCCAGGGAAGTGCCCGGCGCCTTCACGCCTCACCTTTGTTGTGCAGGAAGTTAAGGGCACTGGCAATGTCTTGCACCACCACACTGGCCTCCAGTTCATTGAAGTGGCGCCTCCTGTGGATGTGGGTCAGGATGGAGCCTAGGGGAGGGAAAATAGCGGCTGTTAGCAGGGCCTCATCCATGCGTTTCTCCCTCAGCCCCCTCCCCCGCCCACCCACACACACACACACAATGGCAGAGACGTGCTGCCCTGGCTCCAGAGCGTCTCCCCACCAGAGCGTTCGGGAAGCTGGGACCAGGGATTCTGCAGGCCAAGAGCCAGCAGCGAAAGTCTAGAGGGAAGTGGGTGCTGCTGAACGGTGATGGGTTATGACGGGACCCATCCTTGCCAAGCTGTGAGCTTCCCAGCTCGCGGAAGGGGTCTCCATCAGGCCGGGGGGGGGGGGGGGGGGGGGGGGGCGCGGAGCCTAGATCAGTAGTTCGGGGGCAGGGGGCTGGAGGGGGCCACGAGCAGGTTTCAGGGGGGCCACCAAGCAGGGCTAGTGTTAGACTTGCTGGGGCCCAGGGCAGAAAACTGAAGCCTCACAGTGTGGGGCTGAAGCCCAGGGCTCCCAGCCCTGCCATCTGAGGCTGAAGCCAAAGCCTGAGCAACTTTATGGGGCCCCCTGTGGCGTGGGGCCCCAGGCAATTGCCCTGCTTGCTAACCCCTAATGCTGGCCCTAAAGGTTGAGAGCCCCTGGCCTACATAACACAGCCCCCGCCCCGCCAGCCAGAGGTGAACGATGCCATGAAGCGGCAGAGGTCCTGCGAGGATATTTACCTCCTCGCATCTTCTCAAATACCAGGTAGAATCTATCTTCCTCTTCGAAGAACTCGATCAGCTCCAGGACATTCCTGTAAGGAGAGCAAGGGGGGGCGGGGGGGGAGATCAGATCAGCTCTGCCCTCTTGTCCTGCAAGGCTCCCCCTCCAGCCAGCCGCAGGGCCTTCCCAGAGCTGGCTCCTCCACGCCCCGAGCGCACATGGGCGTGCAGACGTGGGACAGACGCCAAGGAGAACTGGGTTTCAGTTATTGGAACCAGAAGGTCCCTGGGCCCACAGCTGGTTTCCCAGCATTCCAGGGGATGTTTTTTCAGTGCCCCGCTTCATGACTTAGCTATACCACAGCCCTAATTGTTAGCAGATGCTTCCCTTGGCCAACACGCTGCTATCGAGAAAGAGAGCTGGTCTTACTATTCTGCCCAGTGAGACTCAACGCTCCACAAATGCAACAAACACCCTCTTCCCAAACCCTGCCCCCAGCCTACAAGAGGGAGGAGCCCTTCGGAGCATTCAGCAGGTCACTGGTGGGTCAACCCAGCTGAAAAGAGATCTATATTCATTGCTATGGAAGGGTTTTAACTCACACACGGCCCGCCAAGGTAAGATGGGAGCAAGCACATCTTCCCACCTTTACCCTGGATTGCGAAGAGAAGTGGGGTGGCAAATCTCAGCCGTATGCTCAAGTGATGTCCACCCACCCAGCAACAGAGATCCCAAGAATCAGTACAGCTCAGGCCTAGCAGGGACCTTCCCGCCCGTACCTGTGTCCCTGGCACTGGTACAGCATCTCCACCTCCCTGAATACCCGGCTCCGGATGTGTCCAAGGCTCTTCTCAATGATCTGAAACAGAAATAGGGAGAGAAGTTTGGAGACTGACCATGGCCCCTTATGCTGCTCAAGGGGGGGAGGGGGAGGCTTGGACCCCCCAAAGTCCCAGGGAGCGGGAAGGGGATCTAATAGGAATGATGCTGGAGCTCAGATCCCAAACTGGATTGCTACAGCGTCCTAGCTACACAAGCCAAAACACACCCCTAGAGCCAAACGGCACCCTGTCCACACGATCCCAGAGCCCTGCCACTGTCAATCCTCAGCAGAGCAGATTTCAGATCCGCCGTGGTCCCAGGGACCAAGCCAGGCAGCCTGGCTCCATTCAGAGATCCTGGAAGGGGTTAACCAACTGCAGAGAAGGCTGCTTTCCTTCCCCCACCCCTCAGGGAGGTGACAGCATTAGCCATGCCAGTTTTCCCTCCACGCCCTTCCCTCCGCAGGGGAGGAGCTGCTCTCATTCCAAGGGGACAGCCAAACAAAGGGTCACGTGTCTAATGCGCCAAGCAAAACAGAGGCCCAGGCATACTTCAAAGGCCTGGCCCTGGGGTTTGGCTGCAGAGATAAGGGCCCCCTCCCCCTCCTCCCCAGGCTCTGTGGGGAGAGAGCTTGTACAAAGACAGACAAATATACAAGATAAGCTGGGCCACAGGCTGGGATCAGCCACAGCGGAGTAAATCCGGAGTAAGCACTGATTGCAGTGGAGTTGCTCTGGATTTACACCAGTAGAGCAGAGGTCAGAGTGCAGCCTCCTGCAAAGGCGGCTCAGGGCAGGGAGTTCTAAGGAGAGACCAAGACAGCATAGGGGGCAGAGTGCAGGGCTGGCAGTCAGGACTCCTCAACTCTGTGCCTTCCTCTGCCACCAATTTGCTGCGTGACTTCAGGCAAGTCACTTCCCGCTCAGTGCCTCAGTTTCCCCATGGGTGACATGGGGGATTCTACTTCCCAGGCCCCCAGCACAGGGCCTGAGGCTCAGGGGTTTGTAAAGTGCTTTGAGATCCTCATCCTGATGAATAAGGTACGGGGCAGTTCCATGCCATGCCACTAGCTTTGGCTCATGGAATGGCCTCAGACTTCCCAGCAGGGCTTCTCCCCTTTGCTTTATTGTAGCAAAAAACGTCAGTGTCTGAAACCGAGGGTCTGATTTCTGGTTCGATACACACGGCCCTTGTTGTTCTGCTGAGGCAGGAGGCGGTGCCAAGCTGCTGGAGAAGGGCAGCATTGTTCCCCTCCCATGGGCAGCTTGGCCAGCGGCCCCCTGTACAAGCAAAGACGCTCCCCAGAGACTGCAGCTCTCAAACAGCTGCTCTCCTCCAAAGCCAACACACTTCCCTTTTTCAGAAGGTCATGACCCTGCAGCCCCCCCCCACCCCCAATCCCTCACAGCCCCCCCTCCACACAGGCACCCAGCCACGGCCTATCACTTCCGGGCAGATGCCAGCACACCGCAATCGCGACGCCTGATGCCAAGGAACCAATCGCTATTCAGTAAAAAGGGGCACCGGCCGGCCCTTGTCCGGTCTGTGCAGCTGAAGCAGCAGCAAGCAAACAGGCTGGGTCTGTGCCAGCTTTGCACACTGCCATACAGCGGCGCTCCTTCCGGGGAGTCCTGCAGAGAATCGCTGCGTTAATCTGAGCCCCGACAGAGCACTGCGCTTCGACAGGTTTAGTCTGGAGTTCCAACAGCCTGGCAGGCAATCACACAGGCAGCGGGGAGGCGGCTCGCCAGGACCTGTTCTGCTTCCCGCCCGCTTGCCGGGAGGCGTCGAGACGCCCAACACACAAATGAGTCTAACTGTCCCACTAGCATAATCCTCTCCACTCATCTGTCCTCCCCAGGTGCTTTGGGAGCCCTAATTTACCCTCCCAGACTCCCCCGCCCGGTAGGGATCAACCCCACATCACAGAGGAGGAACCAGAAGCGAAGAGACCTGCCCAGAGCCAAGAGTAGAAGCTAGCTCATGACCCCTAGCCTGCACCTTAATTATAAAGCCGCCTTCCCCCTCCCCCAGGGTTAGCAAGTGACAGATGTCACAAGGCAGTGAGCCCATCTCTGTTTGGGGGGCAGGGGGGGATCTAGTCTTACACAGGCTTCTCGTTTAAGTTGGACCATATCTATGATCTTCAGCTGCATCTGTTCGCCACTGAGCCAGGGCCGAGTAAAGATCTGACTGCGCTGCCCTCCCACACGCAGGATGGCCCTGGGCACCACACCCAAAGGACGAACCCTCAGCAGTTTACAGGGACCGGCCATTGGTCCAGGGGATCTCCTACGCTCAGTGAGCCAGTCTTCTCAAGAGCTTCCTTTCCCCGGCTATCTTCGGCGGATCCCTTTTTAATCGAGCTTAGTCGCAGCTACTCCGATTTGCTCAGTAAAGCAGTTACTACAGAGCCGTCTCCCCTCCCCTCAGCACACAGCGCTGCCGCCCGCTCTGCAGGGTCCAGCACCAACGCTGGCCCATTCAGGCCATTTGATGGGCCCACGGCTGGCTCAGATCCTTCTGTCTCTTGGGAGGCTAATGGCAGAAGCCCATCAAAACAGGCCAAGCAGAGCCAGCCCAATTGTGTTAAGCACCAAAGTCCAGTCTGTCTCCGTCTCTCACCGACAGCCTGAGGCAAGTTTGGGGTGGATGGACAGTTTAAAGCCTTAGCTACCTCCCACTGCCCTCTCCTCTTGCTTCTAGGATGAGGGGTGGGGCGAGTCTCCCAGCCTCATTAGGAGGTGTATCACAGTAGCATCAATAGGTCCCTACAGAGATCAGAGCTCCAACATGCTAAGCGCCCAGACAGCACCTGCTCTCAAGAACACGCCATCTAGAGGGACAGGACAAATTAAGGGTGGGAGTGGAAATCAAGGTCAAAGTAGGGAAGTGATCGCCGGAGCCAGGAACAGAACCCGCTCTCCCCACTGCCAACCCGTTCCCTACCCACTCGACCACGTGGCCTCTCAGAGCCCATACCTTCACGGCGTACTCCTTGTTGGTGATGAGGTTGATGCAGGACTGGACTCTAGCATGGGCGCCTTCCCCGAGCACCTCCTCCTGCAGCTGGTAGACATCTGTGGGGAGCAGAATTGACCTCGCTTCAGTACAGTTTGTTTTTTTGGTTTCTGGGGGTGGGGAG